ACACGCCTCCCACCACAGGCCCGGGACACGCGCGGCCACACGCCTCCCACCACAGGCCCGGGACACGCGCGGCCACACGCCTCCCACCACAGGCCTGGGACACGCGCGGCCACACGGCTCCCACCATTGGGCCCTCAAGACACGCCCGGCCACACGCCTCCCGTCACTGGTCTCGCAGGGTGGCTGAGGTCGAGCCATGGCTGGCTCATCTCACGTCTCCTTAGGGCTCCCAACAAAAACAAATCCTGGGCTTTCTGGCCGGACCTCCAGGGTGGAAGAACAGAGACCGGGCCTGCCGGGAAAGTGCCAGCCTGTGGAGGAACAGAACCAGGCGATGGGCGCCTTGGGCACCGAGAGAAGCGCGGGAGTTCCCTGCACCCCGCTGCACGGAGCAGAGGAGCCGCAGACCCCTGCTGTCCCCTCGCCCTCTCCGTGCCTGTCTCTGCCTCTGCCATCCCGCACCTGTGCTGTATCTCCCTATCTCTGTCACTGTCGTCCGCGCTGTGTCTATCCACACCTCTCGTCTCTGTCTGTCCATCCATCGAGGCTCGCCCTGAAAGAGACCCCGAGAGGAGGGTCCCTGTGCAATTTCACCAGGAAGAGACCCTAAAGACGCCTGCGGGGGACAGAGCCATGGACGGGCGGGGACAGTTCTAACAGGTGACTGCCAGGCCGGGCTCTGGCCACAGAGAAATGCCCCAGGGGGACAAGGTGGCAGGGTGCTGCCCACCGGCCATCACGGGCCACGCTGTCTCTGGCTTACTGCTGGCTGCCGTGACAGTGGACGAGGTGGCTGCCCGGCTGAGCCACGGGCACTGGTGTGCCACATCCGGGAGGCGGTGGGCATCTTGTGTGGCGGTGTTATTTTGTGTGGTGGGCAGTTACACTCGGCTCTCTTCCTTTGCCAGAGTGATCGCCCCGACAGGTACACCTGCTTTCTCACCCCAGCCAGGCTGGGCCAAGGCCGCCTTAAATGTTCCTGGGGTAAAATAGCCTGGATTCCATCTCGGTCCGCACCCAGCCCAGACCTGAGGCACTGCGGTCACACTGGGAGCCCCTCCCAAGGGCCTCAGGCCCTGTGTCCACCCGGCTGGGCCAGCGTGGTCTCCTGAGCCATCCCCAGGCAGAAGCCATCCCCACAGCCCTCCAGAGGCCAGCACCATCCACCTTGGTGAGCAGCGCAGAGCCACAGGGGCCCAGAGCCCCTCCCCCAGGGGCCGGACCGGCCCACGCAGCAGCCTTGGTCTTCTCCCGTCCCTTGGTCACGGTCCTCGTCGCTGGGTCACAGCAAGGACACGTCCGGCTCACAGTTCTGGCTCCGAAGTGCTTACGTGGGCGCCGGCTCCAGGACAGGACGTGTGGCGGAGGAAGGCCGCTCCTGCCGAGGCGGACGGGAAGGAGAAGCGAGGAGGGAGACAGAGCTTCAGGTGGCCCCGGACCCCTCCTCGGCCCAGCTCCTAACAGCGAAGGAGCTCAGCCCACGGCCCGGTCACCTCCCCGAGCCCCCCGCTGCACTGGGGACCCGGGACACTGCAGTGCGAACACAGCGTCCCCCGCCGAGGCGATGCCGGCGAGGAGGAGGAGGAGGGCAGCTGCATCCATCTCTCCTAGGAGTTGGCTTTGCGGTGATAAATGTCGCCGTCTCCACCAAGAACGAGACCTTTCTTCTCCATTATTTTCTCTAAGTGGCTACTCTTGGAAATAGGAAAGGTATTGATTTTTGCACATTTATTTTGTAACTGGCTGCCTTGCTGAACTCTCATTATTTTTAATAGTTTCTCAGCTCAAATGTCCCAAAGGAAAAAAGTTCAGGCGATGTGACAAAGCGGACAAAAACACGCGGAAGCAGTCACCCGTCCCATGTGCTGAGTGGTGCAGAAGCCAGAACGGAAACAACCCCCCCCCAGCCCCCGGAGCCGCCCACTCCCGGCCCCTAGCATCCGGGACGCTCCACAGCGCAGCAGGGAAAGCGGGGTCCTCGCCAGGAGCCGGCAGCCACACCCCACCTCCCCGAGGCCCTCCTGGTCCCCGCACTCTGCACCCACGCTCCGTCCTCACGGGCCACCCCGGCGCTCCGGCCTGCCTCCCACGGCCCGGCCAGGGCTTCCAAGTGCACAGCCAGGAAATCTCCTGGACACTGCCGGGGTGCTGCTGCAGGCTGAGTCGTGTCCCCAAAATCACAGTTGAGGCCTTAACCCCAGCGGGACCCTGTGGAGACACAGGGGCAACTGAGGCTGGAGGTGGGGCTGGGTCTGCCGGCCGGTCCTCTCTCTCATCCCCACCCCTCCCTCCCTCTGCAAGCGCGGAGGAAGAGGTTCCCTGAGGACGCCCTGCGACGCTGGCCACCCAGGAGCCAGGAGAAGAGGCCTCAGAGTGAGCGGCCCGTGGCTCCCTGCTGCAAGGTCTCTGATCAGGAAGACACCAGGTGAGGCCCAGAGCCAGGAGTTCTAAAGCCAGACCTGGACGGGCAGCCCCAGCCACCACAGGGCCCGGGGACATCTGAAGAGTGACCGCCCAGGCGGGCCTAGCACACGGGTGAGCAGCGACAGGGACCAGGAAGGAAGGCTGGTGCCAGGGCAGCGCGGGAGGGGCTGGGCCCTCCACAGCCCGCCTGCTGCCTCTGTTCTGCTTTCACACAGCGCTCGCAGCGGCTCCGGAGCACGGACGCCCCGGTGTCACTGCCCAGGATGAGGGGTCGAGTGGGAGGGCTCAGCCGGTCGCCCACCCAGTGCCCGAAAGACATCAGGGGGGTGACAGGATGGGGGCGAGGAGAGCTGAGGATCCAGCCCAGCACCTGCCCGCGTCTTGCTGTTGGTTTGGTGCGTCTGGGTCTTGTGGGCATGGCACCACCTGGAGACAGGGGCCGCAGGCCTCCCGAGGACGAGCTCAGGCCCCTGTGGGCCTTGCAGCTTCCGGCTTGCAGAGCCCTGAGGCAGGGTTTGGAGGGTTTGGAGGTGCCGGGCGGGTCCTGCAGATGTGTCGGGGACTCTGCTCCTAGGGACAGACTCCACGCCGGCAGCGCTGCCTCAGAGCTCCACCTAGCGGCCAGCACTGCCATGGCGGCACGAGCCTGTGTGCTTCCATCTGGCCGGCGAGGTCTGCAGACCCCGCAGCCCGTGACCCTGACCCTCGGCCACACTGTCCACATAACCTGCCCGCGACGCCTTCGCAGCTGCATCCCCCAGGCCCTGACCTGGCCACCTGCGGACTTGCCCAGGAGGTGCCGGAGCAGCTCTGCTCGTCCTCCAAGCCGGGGGCCCTGTGACAGCGAGGCCGGCAGGGCTGCAGCCAAAGCCAGGTGCAGAGGGGAGGGCGCACACGAAGGCCCGGGCCTCGTCCTCGCGCCTCGGCCCCCGGCCCTGGGTGACTCGGAGGAGCCACGCGAATGCCAGCCCGGCCGCTCCTGCCCGTGAGTGCACACGCCACCCGTCCAGCAGGAGCCACGGGGGCACCAGGCAGTGTCCACACGTGGCCCGCGGGCAGCAGCCCTGCACCCACCCTGGCTCTGCAGGCCCTGGCGGCTCTCCCAACAGCCCTCGCCCGACTCCCGGCTCCTCCAGCCTCACCGCCCCAGCGCCCTGCGGCCCACCTCAGGGGGAGGGCGCCCGCACCCACAGCCCCAGAGCTGCCCCCCGGTCTCGCCTGTTCCGGTGACCATCGTGACCTCACCCTTCTCCCCCTAGCTGTGTGCTTCAGGGAGAGGCCGGGTCCTGCTCAGGCTTGTGTCCCTGCTGCCCAGCTCCGTCCACTCTACAGAGACTCCAGAGTGAGCTAAGGGAGACCCAGGCCAGGCTGTGGGCCCTGTGTGTCCTCAGGGATGTCCCTGCAGGCCACGGTCCTCAGGATCAGCCCCTGCATGCAGGGGCCGATCGAAACTTACATTTTTTAAGTGTATTGCAGTAATCCCTTGTGAGCGTCTTTGCCGGGGTGCCCACAACTGCGGTGACGGCTGCTGCCCAGGGCCATCCCGTGCAGACACAGCTGGTGAAAACACAATGACGACGCGTCCCCATCCACCCGTTCACCAGACCCAGTGCTGTGCGCCGCCTGGCTCCTCCCCAGCCTCAAACTGACCGTGGAAGGGAGACGTCCTGGACATCGGGGCAGCCAAGACAGGGCAACTGCAGACCCTCGGGAAAGAGGACTCCAGAGCTGCTGCAGAAAGCGGTGCAGACAAGGGGACGAGTGCTCGAAGGAGGCGGGGTGTCTGGAGGAGGCCTGTGGCTCCTTCTGTCTTTAGCTGCCAGGAACCCCGCTGCATGTACGTCCCCACTGCCACTGCAGCCGTCTCCCAGAGACCCCGCAGTCGGGATGGCTGTGGCTCCGGGAGGGCGATGCTGGGACCCTCTCTCCCCCAGCCCTGCCGGGAAAGCAAACCTGGACCGGCCTGTGGGGACAGAGGGCCCTGGAGGACTTGTGCCTCTGAGAGGAGCGCTGAGCTCTCCCAGTCCCCAGAGAAGCTACCAGTCCAGTGTGGACAGGTGACGCTCTGCATGGGCAGCCAGGCTTGTGCAGCTGTAACACACTGTGTGAGTCACATAAACACGTCTGCAGACGACGCGACTGGGCTGACTCTCTGTGTGACTGGCAGCTCTGAAATCAACTGAGGAAGAAACAAGTTCTTGCCGAGCGTGGTGCCGACGCATGCCTATAATCCCAGCACTCAGGTTGCAAGTTTGAGACCAGCCTGGGCTACAAAGTGAGCTCGTGGCCAGCCTGAACTGCATAGCGAGACCCTGTCTCAAAAAGACAAAAAGAAAAAGAACCAAGTTCTTGTATCCTTGAGCCCTGTGGTGGTTTAGTTTTAGGAGAGTGAGAAGGCAGTGTCCCTGGACCCTGAGAAAATGTGTGAAAATGACTGAGAAAAAAATAAGCACAACCCCCTGCCGGGTGACTTCTCAGAGTGTAATTGCATTTTAATAACAGGGGGCTGATTCTGGAGGTAATAATTGTTTGGTTCTCACGTTCAGCTGGTGTTGATTATTCTGGAAAATGTGTCGAAGTTTATTTCATTTTCCACTCTTGTACCACTTTAATGAAAATTCATTACCAACATGGCTTCCTGAACCAGAAAGGAAGGAATTAAAATGCACATCTGTATATAAATAAATAGGCACACTACATAAACAAGCTGTCGTCAGATGAGGTGATCTGGCTTATCCTAGTGAAAAATGAATAAAGGGATATTTCAGCCTTAGAAATAGAACAGAGGTGGGTGTAGTGGGGCATGCTTGTAATCCCAGCATTCAGGAGGCTGCGGCAGGAGGATCGCTGCGAGTTTGAGGCCAGCCTGGGCTATAAAGTGAGCTCAAGGCCAGCCTGAACTGCATAGTGAGACCCTGCCTCAAAAACACCAAAAAAAAAACCTGAACAGGAGGGAAACAGGAAGTAAATAAACAAATGACTCTGAGGATCACTTGCGGCCGCTGTGGGACAAGGCAGCTTCGTGCTCAGGATCGGGACAGCCGGCTTACGTCCAGGTCCCGACCAAGGGGCACATGACTTCGCCCCAGATGACTCCCGCTGGAGTCATCCCTCCAGGCAGGCAGGCACCTGGTGCTCACCTGTGAGCTCAGTTCCCTGTGGGGCTGAGGCAGGAGGGCTGGAAGTTTGAGCCTGCCCTGTATGATTGAACAACTTAGCAAGACTTGGTCTAAAATTAAAAAAAAATTTTTTTTAAATGAAAAGTACTGAGGAAGTAGCTCAGGGCAAAGGCCCTGGATTCCATCCCAGCACTGCAAAAAACGAAGGCAAAAAAAATTTCCCTTAAGACAAGAATCCCGTCTTTTCATCTGTAACACTCAGACAGCGAGAACAAACAAGCTGAGGAACAAGTCCTAACGCTCTGGGAAGGGAAACATGATCTGAGCAGGCTACAGAACTGGTTAAAACAGGTTGGGCCCTCGTTAGTCACCAAGTACCCACGAACTGAAAACCACAGGCACCAAAGCACACGCCAGCCAGGGCAGAAACCAAAACGCCCGGGACAGGAAGTCTCAGGAACAGGGAGCAGGTGGCACCTGCACCGCCGGGGGAGACAGTGCGAGACACACACCCCTCGCCCTCCATGTGTATGCCGCAGCCCGCCAGGCGCGTCCTCGCCTCTGGCCGCTCAGGTCCGCTGCCCTGCAGCCTCTGCAGAACAACCTCGCCGAAGACGTCCGCGGCCTTGGCACCGGTCTGGATCTCTTTTGAGGATCCCTCGGGGAAGGACCCGTTTCCTAACCCGCGCGCCCCTGGGGTTCCGTCCCACAGACTCACCAAGGCCTCAGCTCCTTGAGAGGGACCCCGGCACCTGTTCCTGGCCGCGTGGGCCTCGCCCGGGCGCCTTGCTCACTGCAGCCTGCAGGAGGGCTGCTAGGATGACGGGAGAAAGCGTCGCGTTCCATTGGTGAGGACATCCCGCCACTCCCACGGGCTTACGGGGGACAGAGGCTGGGAGCCCCACGCGCAGACTCCCACACCAGGGCTCTCAGCCGCCCCACTGTACAGCCACCCCGAGATGCCCCGCCCCCGTCCAGAGCAAACAGGCGTGCGTGTGAGTTCACAGTAGGAGGCTCCGGGCACGAGCGAGGCCTGGGTTCGCCTGCCAGCCCCACAGTACACATCAGTAAGTGCAAAGGCAGCGCCCGGCTTGGGAGCGGGGCCAGAGCGGGGCTGCCTCTGCCGGCCACACAGTCAGGAGGGCACGGGAGGGGACATTGGCCGAGAGCCTCAACGTCTTGATCACTTTTCTCTCGCTGAGACAAAATAACCGACAACCAAAATTAAGGAAGGACAGGTTTATTTAGCTCACAGTTTGTGGAGGTTTCAATCCAGACTCAGCTGGCTCCAAGGCAGGGAGGCACATGGCAGAGGGCAACAGTTCAAGGCAGCAGAAGACAACGAAAGCAGCAGGAGCAAAAGGGGGAGGGCAAGCTTCTCCTCCCTTATACTGTAAGGCAGCTGCCGTCCCCCAGGGCGGTGCAGCACTCCCACCGTCTCCGCGCCCTCCTCTTGCACAGGATGAGGATGTTCACAAACTGAGGACCCCGGCTCCCTGCTGAGCCGCTTGGTTAAACTTTAGACCTCTCAAGCTGACACAGTGTATCAACCATTGCACTCACCTCCGGTTTCACATGACAGTGGCCTGTGACACGCCGACTGTCAAGCGGTGTCATGTGCTATTCCGTCCCAGTTAAGACGAGGCTCGTCTCTCGCCGGTCTAGTAGCTCTTTTTAGTTTTGTTTGTTTTGCTTGAAGAATATTTATTCTGGTCATCAGCTGAAACAATTCTAATCTTTAATTTTTCACTTCTGTTGAAGGGAGGTATTTTACAATTCAAAGCAGCGCGGGAAGTGCTACAGGACAGAAGATTCATGAGGACGTGCAGCAATATAATTCCTGACTTTCTGGATTATTACAGAAAGGTAATGGCCCAGGGGGAGGCCTGTGCCCAGAGATGGTTCTAAAAGAGAAAAGTTTTCTCTGTTATCGTTTCTGTTGTCACCATTTAAGCACACAGAGCAGACAGCATTTCAGGTTGGTACAGGTTCTCACACCCAGAGCAAATACATCCTTCAAGGTGCGGAGGGAAAGACACCCTACGCTCACCTGCCTGCTAGAGACACACGTTTGGCGGGGCGGGGAGCCCATCCCAAGCCACCCCTGGGCCTGTGCCCGGAGCCCCAAGTGGGGCTGTCGGTGGGTAGAAGCACATGGCAGCCGCAGAGGCTGAGGTGGGGCCGGCCGGGATGGACACGCACCGGGACCGTCAGTACTCCCGCCCCTCTGCACGCCAGGCCGGTCAGTCCACACCAGTTCTTAAGCCAGAAATGCCAATGTGAAAGGCGTTTTCAAGTGAACACAAGAGTGTGTGCAAGCATGGTCACTGGAACCCGGGCCTGTGACCAAGCCCTGGTGGCCGAAATTAAATGTCAACAAAGCGCGGTGGGTGCCTGGGCTGAGACGCCTTCCTCTGTGGCATGTGGGGTCGGGAGTGGCTGCTTGTCCTGGGGCCAGGCCTGACCGCAGCTGGCACCGAGAGGGAGCTGCTGCCCAGGGCCCCAGGCCGGAGCTGGTGAGCTGGCACCGCCAGGCATCCGGTGTGTACGGGGTCTCTGCGCCTCCCCAGAGCTGCCCAGGAGTCACAGTGCTCCCCTCCCACTTCTCACCCTGCCACAGACGGCCACGGCCCCCAGCGCCGCCCCGACTGAGATCACACTGTGATTTCCTGAGCTCTTTCCTGACTCCTTTTGGGGGAAGGTACTCCAGACCTAGGGCTCAAACCCTGCAGACGTACTCCTCCCTCTTCAGTCCTTATTCTGGGACAGGGTCTTGTTAAATTGTCCAGGCTGGGCTCAAAATTGTGGGGATCCTCCTGCCTCAGCCTCCCCAGTTCCTGGGGTTATAAATGTGGGCCACTGTAGCCAACTGTACTGATTGCTTTCAGGTGTGATATCGTAGACTCTTCACAGGCTCCTTATCTGTTAGAGCGACCTGTTGAAATGTGTATGAATGAAATGATACTCTGTTTGGAATTTGCTTTATAATACATTGGGCCCATCATACAGAGGTTAAAAAGTCTGACCACATGGGTGAAGCTCAAGGCAGTGCTGGGTACAGACAATAGATACCACAAAGAACACATGCTGCAGGACCCTCTTCCTGTGGAGATCAACAACAGGCCCAACCACCCCCGCAGCAGCGGCCACCTCCCAGGGGTACAGGGACAGAAGTGAGCAGCGGCTCCACCTGGGCACTGGGTGCTGACGGGCGGGGATAAGAGGGAACTTCCTGGGGTGGTCGGAATGTCTTCTTCTGATGGTGACCCATCAAGCCAAAACGCGTCAAGTGCTCAAGACACCTGCCTCCCACTGGATGTTAATTATATTTCAATTAAAGCTAGGTTTAGTCTCTCGCTGCATAGCTTTTTAGCTTAAAGAACACTTGCCTGTCCATTTCCTTTATGACAACCGCTATTGTTATGGCTTGTAGCTAGATGTCCCCCACAGCCTCACGCACTCATAGGTGGGACTGTGGGGAGATGGCTGGATCGTGGACGTGTGATACTGGATTTAGACTGTGATATTGGATTAGTCCACTGATTGGCTTAGCTTAGCTCTGGGTGTGGATAGTGGGAAGGCTCACACTGGGTGTAGGTGGCACCAGCCAATAGGCTTGTAGCCTGGACAGAATAAAAGGGAAAGGGAGGCCTGCTGCTGCTACTGCTTCCACTTCCTGCCTGCCTACCCTGCCATGAACTGTTTACCCTCCGCGATGCCCCTCTGCCACGCTGCCCTGCTTTGGAGCTGACCAAGTATAGAATGAAATCTCTACAAACTATGGGTGAAATAAACCTCTCCTCCTTTAACTTGTGGGTGTCAGATATTTTGTCCCACCAATGACAAAGTAACTAAGACAGCTATGGAGTCTCATCCTATATTTAAGTTTTGGGTAAGCCATATGTATTATTTCTGTTTGCCAGCATGCAAATAAATGAAAATAATTCTGTCATTTATCTGTGGTAATAATTCTATCTTCGAGCCACAGTCTTTAAAAACCCAGCACAACTTTGTTACTTGGTACCTTCCCTCTGAGTCACTACTTTTTCATACGCCGTATGTCCGGAAACCACATCACCCACAACCAACACAAGTAAAACAAACCCTCCCTTTAGAAAGGAGGTCTGTGCGCCACGTGCGAGGGGCAGCGGAAGCCAAGCCAGGTGTGCCCGTGAAGCCCCTACCAAGGGACCTCCAGACCTTCACAAGTTTCAGGCTTCTTGTCAACAAGGAAAGCTCCACCCCAGGAAAGAACCTTGGCTATGAAACCAACCACCTCTGAAAATACACATTCATTCACTCGGCAGAGAGATGAAGGGTTTTCCAGGCTGAGAAAAATGAAGGCTGACTGGGTCACCTTGGGCAGGATTTGCCAGGCTCCAAGGGACAGACGAGGCTAACCAGGGCCTATGGGCTGTAGCCAGCGTGGACTCATGCTTTTCACCAGTGTTGTTTATGCTTGTACGATGACCTGATCGGTCTGCTGTCGGACGAATCAGTCAGCTAAAGTCCCCGCACTCTGCAGCTATTTCAGCCTCCAGGGAAATGTAGTCCAATAAAACTTCCTGCTCCACCTGCTGTACAGACAGGCACATATCACCTGTATTCTAAAATTAGGGAGATGTTTCAGACAAGAAGAGGTGAAAGTTTGGTGAGGAATGCAATATGTACAGATTCAAAATGTGTCACATCAAAGTGCTTGCTAATTATCAAAGGAGAAATAGTAATTCAGCAGTGGGGAAGCCTGACATAAGCCACATTTACCAGATGACGTGCACATCGTCGATAACAGGACAAACCCACAGCATGGGCTACAGCCACAGTGCCCTGCGGCAGGGCTGCACCTGTCCGTGTTCTGTGGCTATGACACAATGTCCGAGGCTGGGCGCCTGCTAAAGAGTAAGTGGTGGCCCACCTGTAATGCCAGTACTTGCAAGGCTGAGACAGGAGGATCACTGTGAGTTTAAGGCCAGGCTGGGCTACACAGTGAGACCTCCATCTCAAAAAGTGAGTAAATAAATAAGCAAATAAATAAATAAATGAAATCAGATGCTATCACCCTCACAGAGGGGAGGGTGAATGTCTGAGCTCAGTGCCCCACCCGGCCTCTGGCGAGGACCCTGCTGGCTACACCATAACAAGGCAGATAGCATCACAGTCGGAGCTGGGGGAGAGAGAAGAACGCAGAGGGCAAGAGAGGCTGGCATTGCTCTGCTCACTACAAGTCGCTCTCATGAGAACTCCTTACCTTGATGCCAGCGTGAGCTCCTGCGGGAACAACGGCCTGGGGCCTGACCGCTTCCTCCAGTGAAGGTGCCACCCCCTGCCAGATGGCCGCGGCAGGACCCACGCTGCCAGCACAGGGCGGCGGACACACGGGAGCCACCCCGGACCCTGGCACAGCCTGGAGCCACGAGAGGACGTCAGGCAGGGGCGCAGAAAGTCACATCACAGGCACCAGGACCCACGGCAGCTGAGGAAGCAGTGCAGAGGACAGGAGTGGGCGGAGCTGTGCAGGATGCTAACAATGCAAGTGGTGAGACTGTACCCAGACCCTCAGTCAGGGAGAAGAACCGCACCGGCGTTCAATTTTCTGAGTTTGATGACTACGTTAAGGTCACATGTCTTCCTTTTATTTTTTTCAATGGTGCTGGGGATTGAACGCAGGGCTTTTGCCCTGTGCTTCCGCCCCAGCCCTTTTGGGGGTTGGGAGTGAGAAGGGTCTCACTATGTAGCCCAGGCGGGCCTCACACTTATGGAAATCCTCCTTATGCAGCCTCCCAAGTGCTGGGATTACAGGTGCACACCACCATCCCTGGGAATCCCCAGGCCCTTTTAATTTTAATTTTTAATTTTTAATTTTTTGAGACAGGGTCTCAGCGAGTCACTAAATTGCCCAGGATGGGTTCAGGCTTGCAATTCTCCTGCCTCTGCCTCCCAAGGAAGTGGGGTTATAGGAGCACCACCGTGCCCAGCTTTGAGGTTGCATAAATAAGAAAATGTTATTGTTTTTCAAATACTATTTAGAGGTGAAGAGACATGATGGCTGCAACTTAATCTCAAACAGTCAGAAAAAAGAATGTGCGTGTGCACTCACGAGCATGTAAGGGAAAAGATAATAATGCACACATTGCTCGTAACGGGCGGATCTGCGTGAACGCCCTTCTGGGGAGGTGAAGGACAGAGACACAGGCAGGGCCCGGGTTGTGGGACCTGGTGGTGAGGTGTACCGAAACCAGTCTCCTCGCCACCACCTTCCTGTCCCCATGACGGGCACTGCTCTGTCCACCCCTGTCAGCGTGGGGAGGAAGGGAGCAAGGGTCTCCCAGTTACTACCACTACCTGCTTTGTGAGTGGAATTCTCTCAGAACCCAGCACGCGTGAGGTAGAGCTATCAACAGCGCCAAATCCCCCCTCTTCTCCGGAACAAGGCTAAACTTCCTGCTTCCTGATCATTCATCTCCCTTTTGCTGACAACAAACACCTACCTACCCGTACCTATTTAATGCTTTAAATATCTTTCGTTCACATCCTTAAGGTCACCCTATATTTGCAGGAGTTGTTTCCTTAATATATAAACAAACCAGGATCTGCACTGTTGTGGTTTCTGGGGTTTTGCAAAGGAGAACAATATGACACAGGATACATATTTTATAAGATTATTTATAATAGTCACCCAAAGAATCACATACAAGAGTGCAGGAAATCTGTCCACACACTAAGACCAAGGAATCCAGCCGAGGGCCCGGATCCCATGGAAACGTCCTGCATGAGTCCAGCTGAAGACCTAGAGCCCATAACAATGCCTCCCATGAGTCTACCTGGAGGCCTAGAGCCTATGGCAATGTCTCATGCAGGCCTGTTTC